ATAAAAAAATAGGGGGGGGGGGGGGGGGGGAGAGATTACAGTGACTTGTGACTATCCTCCTTTTCTTTCTGATACGTGAGCTCATCCTCCCACTTTCACTCTCACAACTCCTCCATCCTGCAGCTGCCACTGCAGAGAAGCCCAGCAATAACACCAGGTGCAAACCCTGCCTGACCACTCACACCCGAGCACTGAGATAAGGGTGGTGATCACCTGGCCTGGCAGTACAATCAAAACATACCCTTCAGTCAGCACTAATTGCCAAAGAGGGAGAAGGGGATCACTCCAGCAGGAAGGTCTGTGGTGGGGGCCAGGCCACCGTTTGGGGGTCTCTCACACAAGCCTTGCCGGGAGGTTGCTCCTGGCTCCTGTATTTACTCTGCCTCCTAACTCCACAGGTTTTTTCCTTCCCCCCCCTGCCCCCCGCTAAAGTCACCAATCTTTTTCAGTTAATAACAGAGAAAATGGTCTTAAAAAAAAAAAAATTGAGATTATGCAGTGTTTCCAAAGTCACTAAAAGAAAGCAATAGAGTGTAGAGGTTTACCTGCAAGTCGTTCGTGGATTACAAGGATAAAAAGTTGCAAAATAGGGAGGTGGATCATCAGGATCCAAAACGTGACCTTGGTCTTCAACATGAGATTCATCCTAATCAAATGAAACTTCTGTTAAAAACCTTCTGAGATATAAAAAATTGCTGAACTGTGTAATTTAGTAATACTGTTAGTACCACTGTTTATAGCAGGCAATGCCTTGCACTCACTTACAGGGCAGGATCTTCCTGTTGCAAAAACGAGTAAGTAACACAGGGCAGCTGCTATCAAGCAAACTGTGGTGGTGACAGCATTCAAGGCACAAAGAGCAATGAGAACTTTCTGAAAAACATGAAAATTATGGAAATAAAAAAAGTAAATAAAGGCATTTGTAAATGTCAAAATAATAATAATAGAAAAGTAAAACACAAACACAGAAAACACAAGGATGACCATGACAATTACTTCTTAGAAACATATGTGATGAAGTCTTCAGGACAGGTAATCTCCAGGACTGGAGTAATTGTTTTGCCCTATTGTGTGTCCTGACAGAGAGATCCAGAAGGATTTAATACTGCTCAGATGTGATTTATAGTCCACTTCACTAACCTTCCTCTTAACTTTTCTGTGGGAAAACTAGATGTAAGATAATCACCATTAAAGGAATGTTAAAGCACTTTTATACTTGAAGGTGATGCTGTTTAGAGGTTGTATTTTAGCAGTTTGTAAGCCAAGAAAGGCTGAGAAGATCAAAAGACCAGTGAAGGCATCAGATCATTAGGTAAAATTTACACGATATTACACCACGCAATCTTGTCTGAATTCAGCAGTAGTTTTGGTTGCTTAAAACACCAGAAGGACAAGAACTGCATATTGAATCAGCAATGCACTGGTCAAAACCCAGAGGTGATAAAAAAACCCCTGTTACAGAACCATAAAGAGCTTCTGACCAGTGTGGAAGACCAGAAAAATAACAGAATTTTTCACAGTAAACACAGCAGTCACCTCAGCACTGCACTGTCGCACAAGTGCGGACATTATCAAAGCAGTCATGTTAAGCAGCATGCACAGCGTACCTTGAGATAAAAGTGAGCGGCACTGCATGGCCTCAGATGGTATAGCTTCAGCGCAGTATCTTCTATACATTCAGTGACATTGAAATCTTCACAGCAGTAACAAACCCTCTTTTCACCGACATCCACCTTTAAAAGCACAAAACTCCACTTTTTAATTTATTGGCTGTTTTATGCAACATTTTTACCTGTATAATATATGTTAAACTATACCTCTGACCACAAAGCAGACTGGAAATCCAGGCTCATAAGATGAAATTTGTACAGTTTGCTATGCCAATGATTCATACATTATAAAGCTATATTATGCATACTTCCTATTTGAAAGGAAGCATTACTGATAAGCTCAAGACATTAACCCTTAAACTCCTTCAAGCCTTTACGCACAATCATCTTTATCACCAAGTGACCCTGTATCCTTCAATTTCAATTATTCCACAGTTTCTAGTTCATAAATAGATATTCTTCTACTTCTTATGACAGCCATTTGAGAAAAATCTTTTGCGTTCTGTCCTTTCTTGTGCAGATTGCTTTTTCCTCAAGTAGAAGTGTTCTGAAAAGCTAGTATGACTTGATTTACCTTAAATTTTTCCTCACAGCTCTTCCTGTGAGGTATCAACACAAATTGTCCTCATCAGGTGAGACAAACCAGGAAAAATAATCCCACCCACAGATTATACTGACTGAACTTTTTGTAGGTAGCTCACAGGTACCCACAGAGGTCCTTTTCAACAGTTTATCTTTGTCACATTACTATAAAAATCCTTTATGCTAGTTCTTAAATGACTATGATGTTGAAATCAGTGTATAATGCTGGCAAGAAGGATTTTCTAAAGATATATTTGGGATTCCCTCCTACATGGCCCCACAAAATTGTCTAGAAAGCCTTGTACCAAATCAACTGTGTCTTCAGACCCTGAAGACAGAGGCCTGCTCTCAATGTAGTAAACCAAAACCACTTCTGGACTAAGTAGGCTCTTCTAATGAAGAGTAAGACCTTTCAAAACATATCCATTTGGGGTCTTCAGCTTTAGGAACTGAGCACCTTATGAAGACTCCAACTCAAATGAACCAAGTTTAGGTTTAGTGTTTAGGAACATAGACAATAAAAATACTGTTGTGGATTTCAGTGAGTCTCTTCACAATTTGAACTAAATCAAGGCCTGAAACAGAGAGTTTTCTTTGTTCCCCCACCACGCTGTAGCTGCATTACTTGCATCTCTACATTAGCACATTCTGTGATCCCAGCAGAGCAAGCTTATGTGGCACACCGTGAAGAAATACATGTAAAACAGTATGTCTGCTCACCAAATCGCATTTGGGTACACTGGACACAAACTGAATGCCTTGACAGCTTAATACAAATCCAGCCAGGTTCAGCAGAACAGAGATGATAGACAGCAGACTAAATAGGTTAGCCTGGAACAGTAAAACAAAGTTAACAGCAGTGAGAACAGGATCATGAACCTGACTCAAGCAACCTATAGCACGGCAAATCCCACTCCCAAACTGAAGCTGGGGATGACACCCCTTATTTTTAAAACTCCCTGTGACTTCAGTGCCCCAGGGTCTTATCTTAACCCAGTAGATGGTTCCTCCAAACACCTTTATCTTCTCTCTCTCTCTATTCTGCACTAGTTGTGCAGTAATAAAATACATGCAACTATTGAAAAGTACAGGCAGCTAAAGGTTTTTCTGGAGCTCAAAGTATGATTTGCAAGCTGTCCGACTTCCACTAAACGTCATATCCTTCCACAGCGTTTACCTCTCAACACATTTAGATCAGTAAGAAACCTGAAGAGGAAACATCTTAAGACTACATTCATTCTGAATAGAATTTCCAAAGCTATTTATGAAAAATATTTGTCCCAGTACAGTGAGGACAGAGACACTTAAGGGACTTTGGTTATATGATTTTATTTCCTCCTGGCTACTAAAACCAGAACACCTCCATTCACAAACTGGACAATATCTTCAGTTTTATAAACCATCTGTAAGACCAGCAATGGCAAGAGTAATAGAGTACTTCAAAAAGGACAAGAAGAAGCAGTGGATAAAATGAAGTCCTACTTTCACATATGTCCTTACAATCTGCAATCTGTGCTTACATGAGACTTGGGATATGAATTTTAAACACGTGTAAGAACTTTTCCTGTCCCAATTCATACATGCAAAATTTTTCTGTACTTCAGGAGATAGTACTATGGGTAAGACTACTACTTCAGAGACAAATAACAGATTCCTCTCCTGACATGTTTAAATTTTAAGCGCTCAGTCCTACAAACCAAGTATCAGGTCTTTAATGTCCAAAAGAATCCTTGTTAAGAACAATCTGCTCACTCAGATTCTTTTGTATCAAAATGGCCTAAATTAAAAATGCAGGAGATGACAAAAACCTGAGGAAGAGAAGGAAATCATCAGGGACACAGGATCAGTTCTCCTCCAGATAGCTTTGCAGCAGATCCAGCAACAAGGACTTCCTAAACATGCACAAAGACAGCAATCGCTTTCCAAATCAATTTAGCTGACATACTATGGTTACCTACCTAGGAAGCTGGACCAAAATTAAACCAGAGCTGTTGCACAAATTATGATCCTGTTTACTGAGGTTCAGGGAAAGAAATAATCACCCCTGAATGGACAAGAGCCAAAGAGCACTACTGGGCAAGCTCATTCCTTAAATTACAACATCTCATTACTAGTAGGCTTTACAGAGGCTTGACCGTAACATTATCACAGAAGGTAGGTTTTAAAAACCTACTAATTAAAGTCGCTATTAGTACTTCTCTGAAGAGGATTGGGACTATTTTGTGTTCCATGTACTGAGAACAATCAATATTAAGAGAAACAGTATTTTCTCTTAGCTTTATAAATATCATATAACCACAGATAAGAGGTCTTTAATGTTACTAAGCACTTTGAGTGCAGTTGTTTTTCTGTACAAACACAGAATTTAACCATTTTTTTAAAACTAACTCCTTGCTCAGCACTCAAATGAACCAATACCATTTCTTAGGCTTTTATCTAGATTATGTCAGATACCCTTTTGATTAAAACTACTTTGAGAAAAAGAAAATTGGTAGACACAGTTATTCCATACAAAGAAAGCTTTTCTCATCTGTGTTCAACACAGGGCACTGTCAACTAGAAATTAGTTGGGTTTGTAAGTGAAATAGAAGCTGTTTCAACATAAAACACCTTTATAGTACAAATCTCAAGAAATGATACTGAGGAAAACAAGAAGTACATTTGTCCTTTTTCAAATGATGAAAAAATGGAGGTCCTGAACAAAGAAGTTACTTGGCCAAAGTAATGTCAAGAAAGATAAAAAAAAAAAAGGGGGGGGGGCGGCCTGGGGACAGGAGGACAAATTCACATATAAGTTTTCTTGCTTGGTACAGAACCTGCAATAGAAACAATCCAGTATATAGCTAATACATCTATATAAACAGTTACATATAAAATCCAGACTCCTAATGTAATAGTCTACAAAATCTTGAATAAAAATCACACAGATTTTTTCTAAAGAAACCTGTTAAAATCAAAGAAGAAAAAGGAAGAAAAGGAACATTATTATAAACATGCAAAATAAGGATGATAATTTCTACATTTATGTTCTAATAAATTCTACCATACAAAATGTAATCTTGATCTGTTTTTTATTATACGTATAGTCTATTATTTTTGACTGCATAACGTAATATTCAGCCAATCCCACTGAAGAGGTAAAAGATAAAAATAATTCTTCTACATACAATCTAAAACACTACGATGATCTGAAACATAACCTCGACATTTGCTACTACATATGCCATAGTGTACAAGAGAATATATTGTACTTTAGTGTTGAAAGAAAAAAATCCTTTGTCTTTCTGCTTCATCACTGGTTAGCATTTTCACAGCATCACTGAGGTTGGAAGGGACCTCTTGAGACCATCTAGTCCAATACCCTGCTCAAGCAGGGTCATCTACAGCAGGCTGCTGAAGACCATGTCCAGGTGGTTTTGACCACTACTTCTCTGGGTAACCTACACCAGTTTTTGAGCATCCTTACAGTAAAAAAGTTGTCTTTTGTGTTCAGATGGAATTTCCTATTTTTTCAGTTGTGCCCATAACCTCTTGTCCTGTCAGCAGGCACTACTGAGAAAGGTCTAGCTCCCTCTTCTTCATTCCCTCCCATCAGCTATTTATGGAGGTGGAGAAGATCCCCCCTGAGTCTTCTCTTCTCCAGGCTGAACAGTCCCAGCTTTCTCAACCTCTCCTCAGAGGAGAGATGTTCCAGTCCTTTCATCATCTCTGTGGCCCTTCACTGGACTTGCTCGAGTGTGTCCAGATTTCTCTTGCACTGGGGAGCCCAGAACTGGACCCAGCACTCCAGGTCTGGCCTCACCAGTGCAAGGAGAAGGGAAGGATCACCTCCCTCCACCTGCTCGCAAGTCTCTGCCTAATGCAGCCCAGGACACCATCAGCCTTCTTTGCCACACAAGCACTTTGCTGTCTCATGATCATCTTGCTCTTCACCAGGATCCCCAGGTTCTCTGCAGAGCTGCTTTCCAGCTAGTTGTTCCCAGTGTGTACTTGTGCCTGGGGTCATTTCCCTGCACGGGCAGGACTTTGCATTTCCCCATGTTGAACTTCATGAGATTTCTCTCAGCCCATTTCTCCAGCCTGTCCAGGTCCCTCCGAATAGCAACATTTGGTGGACTGGCCATTCCTCCCAGTTTTATATCACCTGTGAACTTGTTGAGAGTGCACTCGGTCCCATTGTACAGATCATTCATTAGGATATTAAGCAGTATTGGCCCCAGTATCCACACCCAGGCCACAACACTGCTGGCTGGCCTCTGGCTGGGCTTTGTGCCACTGATCACAACCCTCTGGACCTGGTTGTTCAGCCAGTTTTCAATCCACCTCACGGTCCACCTATCTAACATGTACTCTGTCCACTTATTTTATAAGCTATATTCTCCTGCAGATGCAAATTTAAACACCTTCTCCATCACTACTCACCTACAAGTAAAAACAAGTGTTCTAGTTTATGCCAGTGAAAGAAGATCCCACCCACAGGTAAACCAGGAGAAAAGTACTCCTCAACTTAGAATAAACAGGCAAAGGCAGACATGCTATTTTAAAAGCTAAACCAGAGGTAACTAGTCTTAACTGCAGTGACAAAAATGAAAACAACTCAAATTATGGCTTCAGTTTGGCTCACAGCCCTCATCTTCCAAGCATTAGCTACACATGGACTGTGAACAGATGCAGAAAGTCTTGAACATTTACATGAGTTAAACTATAGGAAAGCAAAGTGTATTCTAATGTTAGACACAGTATTTGCTAATGTCTTGCATGGATGATCTCTTCCAGGTAAAAAATCATCGTGCACTTTGAGGACTCCACAGCAGCATAAACTTGCATGATAAGGTTCTAACCCTGTTATTCATTCTGCATGGGTAGACTGCTTGTTGTCCTGCTGCTGTTGCCATTGAAGCTAACATCTAATGCTGGAGAGAAATTGCTTTCACTTCAATATGCACACACAGGACTGATGTCCAATCAGGCACTTAAAAAATAATGAAAGAAAAACATTTGCACCACAATCATCAACTCTTATATCCGTTTACATCCTACATATACAGTTTATGAATATCCTTCTAGGAAAAGGCAAGTCAATGTATTAATTTTCCATATACACAGCAGCAATAGCAATAATTAAGAAATAATTATGGGACCTTACTAATTTTCTGTCAGTTGTGAGAGCTATTTATTGTACCATATGGAGACCTGCAACACACCTGTCACCAAAAAAAGCCACAGAGAAGTAAAATACAGACTAATTAATTTAATAGAAAAGTCACATGCTTCAAATGCAGCATTAAAACACCCCATATGAATGAGAGAAAAGCTTTTTCAGCATAAAAATAGGTTATTAAAAAAAATCAGAAGAGACCTGACTTTGACCTGATAATAAAGGCTAAAAGCCTTTCTAAAGGCTTTTCAGGGTCCTACAAATAAAAGCATATTTCTTTTTATTTGTTTAGACTGACTGTAAAACCTTTGTACGAATACCATTTATTAACTTAATGGTGGAGACCTCTATGTGAGCCAAGATGTTAACATCAAGCTGTTTTACCTCTAAAATCCAGACAGTACTACAGTACTAAACAGGCAGTACTACAGTAATTCTCACCAAAGTCAAATGACTTTGCTTAATTTGAAGCACATGGCTAGGAAGAGATTTTGGGGCTGGGAGGGGGTGGGGATAGGGTCATGATACACGGCTTCTCTTCACAGTGCTTTATATTGCTACTAGCAGGGCTAAAATTTAAGGACGTCACTTCACTAGCACCAGAACTAAGTATTTTGGTCTAAACTTTATATTTTGGTTAAATCTATACACATTAGTCAAGGTGCAGATATCA